GTGGGCACAGCTCTTTGTGTGTGTGTGTGTGAGTGGGCACAGCTCTGTGTATATGTGAGTGGGCACAGCTGTGTGTGTGTGTGGGAACAGCTGTGTGCGTGGGTGGGAGGGCAGGCACAGGCCTGTACATTGCGATAAAATGTTCCAGTTTGAGAGGCTGAGAGGCGAAGGTGGAAATGGGATGTGAGTTCTCAAAAAGAACCAGTTGAGAAGAGGGAACGAAACAGAGGAACATAAAATGAGGAATTAACTGCAAAGTAATTGAGCTGCAATATGTCAGAGGCTGGTGGTGTGTTAGGTACAGCTTCTCTGAGGGGTTGTCACTTCCTCTGGGAAGCCTAAGATGAGAAGAATGTTTTATTATAGGCTCAACACACAGGGTCAGTAGTTACACACACAGATGCGCACACACACAGTGAGTCCTGTTTCACATACAGTGAGTGCTGTTTCACATCCACACACACACACACACAGTAAGTGCTGTCTCACACACACACATACACACACACAGGGTCAGTAGTTACACACAAATAGTATGTGCTGTTATGCAAACCCACATCCAGTGCTGTTACACACCCACACAGTTAGTGCTGGTACTTTCCCAATTGCATTCCGCATTTTTCATTGGCGTCTCTCGGAGATGTCTCGTTTCAAGGGTTACAAAACTTAATCTTATCCCGAGTTGCCCTTTCTCCTGTGCCTATTCTGAGAACTGTTCAGTCTGGGCCTCATCATAAATCGATGACTTTGGAATTCAATGAATGAGGATGTAACTTACCTGAATGTATATTATTGTGGATTACAAAATCAGGGTCGAAGTAAAGGATTGGGGCAGAGAGAATAATAATAATAATCCTTGCATTTGATGTAGCGACTTATCACATCTTTGAGACTCTCAAAGCGCTTTACAGGATAAGTCTGCTGTGTAGGAATCCGGTTCTGTTAGTCGATTGGTGGATCGCTTTTCTAAGGGTAATAATTCCTTCAAAATAATAGAACTTGCTGTAAAGTGAATTGACTGTATATTTTGTGGGTGAAACATGGCAACCAATTGCGCACAGCAGTGTCCCACAAACAGTCGTGGATTGAGTGACCAAATTATTATTATTTTTTTGGAAAAGCGATCTACCAATTGACTAACAACCGGGTTCCCACTTATTGCTGGGTAAACAGAGGCGTGTGTGTGGAGTAAGGAAACTTGTCCAATATTTCGCCCTGCCCAGGGCGATTGTTCTAACCACTAAGCTACAGGACTCCACTATATTTTGTTAACTCTGGTTGTTAAACAGTTAATTCTGACCCCACTTGGGAAACTACCCTCTTTCCTCCCATCACAGATCCTAAATCTGCCGCAGTCCACATTCCTTGCTGTCAGCCCGTTCAGAAAGTGCAGGCGGGTTGTGTGTTGGCTCCAAGATTCCTCTGATTATGGGCCAGGAACAAAGGTCTGAAAATCTTGGATTCAGACTCTCTGCTGTTCGTTCTCCAAGTACGCAGGCAGGGATGTGGACGCTCCCGTGGGCCCATAGCTAGTAAGCGCTCTGAGACGCTATATCCCGTGAAGGGCGCTATATAAATGCAAGTTTTTGTTGTATCCTGTTTCCAGGCCGTTCAAAGCAGGGGTACAATTTAATGAACGTGTCTTGCTGAATTGTTTCAGGTCAATCAATCTGGTCCCTGAACATTCAAGTACTTCCTGGGTAACCAGATCAAAGCTACGTTGAAGCCTTGGGACCTAGCTCCTTTTCCCAACGGCCAAACGGTGAGGGGTGAGGGATGGGGACTGACAAATGTACGCTTGTCGTAGCATTTTCCACTGTCAGATCTGCACAGCACCTTTCACGTCGAGAGGACGGTCAGGGATTTGGAACCGAGCTGGGCGGGGGAGGGGGGCGGTTTGGGATCAGGGAGGGTGGGGGTAGGAGGGTGGCCGAAAGCGCGGTCGAAGAGAGAGTCTCAAGGGAGGGGGTGAGGCGAACAGAATGTGGGATGGAGTTCCAGAGAGGCTGAAGGGGCGACCGCCTTTCTTCCAGAAAACCTACCCTGACGCCTTCTCATTACAGCGTTGAGCTGTTTGAGCTGTTTCTTAAATGAGTCCTGTCCCGAACCCCATTCCTGAAAACCCTGTCCTCGTCATTGTGGAAATGGAACTCTGGGTGAGGAGCCACTCAATTCTCACGTAATCAGCTCTCATCAGACCAGCTCCGTTCACAGTTCTGTGAAGGATTTCCATGGCATTTCGTGCAACCACATCAAACAGATTATTTTTAAGGTCTAGTACAAATCTTATGCTCTGCGGCTGATCGCATCGAAAACGGAGAGCTGTTTCCGTCCAGCCAAAGTCAGTGAAGAGTGTTGGCCATTCATGCTTACTGTGTAGCGGGGCGAAACATTGGTAAGTTTCCTCATCCGCACACACGCCTCTGCTTACCGAGCAATAAGTAGGAACCCGGTTGTTAGTCGATTTTCTAGCGGTAGTGATCCCTCCAAAATAATAATAATATTAATGTGATTACTCAATCCACGACTGTCTGCTCTTTCAAGAGCCGGCATGGGCATGATGGGCCGAATGGCCTCCTTCTTTGTTGTATAATTCTATGATTCTATGTCTGCGGGGACGCTGCTGTGCGCAATTGGCTGCCGCGTTTCGCCCACAGAATATACAGTCAATTCACTTGACTGTGTATCCTGTGAAGCGCTTTGAGACATTATTATTGAGGATGAGATAAAATGGAGAGTCTTCTTCATCCAAATGGGTGAGCCCTGGATGTTGCAATAGTGGACTGTTTCAGCCTCTTGTTTACTTCAATGGGAATATTAATAGATGTTCTGTTTGAAAACTGGCTGTATGTCAGCTGCAGATTATCCCAGATAGTCGCAGACCGCTGGTATTTTTTCACGCACTGTTGCACTGTGTATGGGAGAGGGTGCATTATAGCGGACTCTGGTAATAATAATATTAATCCTTGCATTTGATACAGCGCCTTATAATGTCTTCGAGACATCTCAAAGCGCTTCACAGGATATACAACAACAACAATAACATTAAGTTTGTAAAGAGCCTTTCATGTCGGGAGGACGTCCCAAGCCACTGAACAATCAGGGATCAGGACCCGAGCATGGGGGGAGGGGGGGGCAGGGTTGGGATAAGGGAGAGCAGAGAGGGGTAGGAGGGCGGCTGAAGGCACGGTCAAAAAGGAGGGTCTTGAGTCGTGCTTTGAGGAAGTGAGATGAAGGGATTTGTGGGATGGAGTTCTAAAGAGTGGGAGCAGAGAGACTGAAAGCCCAGCCACCGATGGTAGGGCGGGTCGGGCGGGAGACCTGGATCAGGCCGGAACCCGCTGAGCAGAGGGAGCGGGCAGTTTGCTAGGGGGTCAGCGGGTCAGAGGTGTAGGAGGGGGAAAGGCCTTGGGGGGCCCAGAAAGTGAGGATGAAGATTTTGTACTTGGTGTGTGGTAAAGTGTAAAGTTAAAGCCATATACTGTAAAGTGTAGTGACTGTATATTTGTGTGGGCAAAATGCGACAACCGATTGTGCACAGCAGTGACCCACATACAGTCGTGAATTCAGTGACCACATTATTATTAGTAGTATTATTTATTTTGAAGGGATTATTATCCCCGGAAAAGCGATCGACCAATAGACTAACAACCGGGTTTCTACTTACTGCTGGGTAAACGTGTGTGGAGTAAGGAAACTTGAATGAATGAATTATTATTATCAATGGTGCATTAAGCGATATTTGTTAGGTCAGGGTATTAAGGGATATGGGGCAAGGGGTGGGTAATTGGACTTGAGGTACAGACCAGCCATGATGTTACAGAATGGTGGAACAGGCGCGAGGGGCTGAAAGAACAACTGTATCAAAAACAATAATAAATTGGTCATTTTCAATCTACGACTGTTTGTGGGACATTGCTGTGCGCAATTGGCTGCAGCGTTCGCCCACAAATATACAGTCAATTCACTTTACAGTGTGTTCTGTTAAGCGCTTTGGGACGTCCTCCCGACGTGAAAAGCGCTATATCAAATGCAAGGATTATTATTATTAGTAGTATGTTTCTACAGAAACATGGTGATGTCATCTCACAGCTGTGACAGTATTTCCAGGATATCTATTTTTTGGGGTTTCCAGTTTTAATAATGAGGAACTAATGAGTATTTGATGGTGAGGCACAGACAGAGAGGGGAGTATTTCTGTTATCTCTCAGGGTTTGAACTCTGACTGTTCTCTTCCTCGTGTGTGACTTTAACTCTCTCGGACCCTGAGAGAGAAAGTCCTCCCTCTCTCTCTCTCTCTCTCTCTCAAACTGCCGGCAGATCACATTCTCCCCCCAAAAATATAAAAAATATTATATGTCGGATTTGCTAATAATTAACAACAGGAAAAGTTGCTTCAATTCACAATGTGATACTGAGCCTCGCGAACATGAAAGGTGACAGTGAACGATGGTTCAAGGACAAGTAGTTCCTTCAAAACAATTATGATAATACTAAATTGGTCACTCGTGCACAGCTGTTTGTGGGATGCTGCTGTGCGCAATGGGCTGCAGCGTTTTGCCCATAAAATACACAGTGTATTCTGTGAAGAGCTTTGAGACGTCTCGAAGGATTATTATTATTATTATTATTACTATTATTTGTGGCCTCGGTGTCAGGGAAACACAGCAGAGAGCCGACACGACAGTGTGACGCTCACTGGCTTTGACGTTCGGACAGCAACAGAGGGCACTGGTGGCAGCTTGTCAGAGCAAGAGGGAAGAGAGAAGATGGGACTGAACGAAAAAGTTTCTGGCGTTACATTTATGAACAGGAATCGGCTATCGATTCCGCCCCAGAGATCACATCTGCTTCCTCCGTGTCTCCGAAAATGTCGACTCCACAAATCCTCTCGAAGAAGGAGGGCAAAGATGAATTCTGGCAGCTTTTGTGATTGAACACAATCCTCCCCATAAAACACACACACACACACACACAGTGATGTGGAACCAGAGAGAGAGAGAGAGAGAGAGAGAAGGCAAACATCTGGGTGGGACCCTGGAGATCCCATTAGCATCTCAGCTTTGAACCCAATATCACACACTGGGGACAAACTGTTAGGATACAATTAATAACCCACAGCGCTGTGCGTTTGGAGACGTTGCTGCGAATCGGAGGGGAATTGAGTGGAGGCAGAACAGAGGGCGAGAAAGGAAAACAGAGAGAACCCCCTCTGATCCACAACGGGGGCACCGCCCGCCCTCACCCACAGTTAGTGTTGCGCCCCGAATAGTCTTCGCGGAAAAAGAACGTGAAAACCACGAGCACAGAAAGGGAACATTTTTGCTCAGTGGGTCTGAGGCGGTATGTGGAAAGGGGGCGTTCACTCCTGTGTGAGAGTGTGTGTGTGTGTGTGTAGTGAGTGTGTAGTGAGTGTGTAGTTTGGCTTCACACCAACACAGCATTCGGCTGAGATCTTTGTTAGACTCGGGGACAGAGAGACCGTGATTCACAGTAAGTAAAGAGTCCCTGAACTTTATTATACATCTGTAACTTGGGCAGTCACACCGCGCGTGTGTGTGTGTGTGTGTGTGTGTGTGTTTTCCAGCAGAAAAGTGGGGCTGTGCTGTGCTGTGTTTGAGCTGAGGTTTGGTTTTCCTTCCCTGGGATCCACACACTGAAGACTTTCCCCCCGAAATACTTCCCCATTGCAGTTGTTTGCCATCAGAGGAGAGGGAGAGGGAGAGAGAGAGGGAAACACAGTCTCTCCAACGTTTCACAAAGGAACCATTGAACCCCAGAGCTGTGACTGTAGGGTTTAAAGTCCGCGACAGCAGTTGTTGTGGATACGCTGTGAGTTTGATGATCGAGTGGTCGTTCTCATCCGCTTTCGGTCCCCCTTTTCTCTCTGGTTACAGTGGATGTGGTTGTGATTCCTGGGGCACGGCGTTTGCTGTAGAGAAGGGCAGGGCAGGGCAGGGCAGGGCAAGGTAGGGCAGGGCAGGGCAAGGTAGGGTAGGGCAGGGCAAGGCAGGGCAAGGTAGGGCAGGGCAAGGTAGGGTAGGGCAGGGCAGGGCAGGGCAAGGCAGGGCAAGGTAGGGCAGGGCAGGGCAAGGTAGGGCAGGGCAAGGCAGGGCAGGGCAGGGCAAGGCAGGGCAAGGTAGGGCAGGGCAAGGCAGGGCAAGGTAGGGCAGGGCAAGGCAGGGCAAGGCAGGGCAAGGTAGGGCAGGGCAAGGCAAGGTAGGGTAGGGCAGGGCAAGGCAGGGCAGGGCAAGGCAGGGCAAGGCAAGGTAGGGCAGGGCAAGGTAGGGCAGGGCAGCCAGGGCAGGGCAGGGCAAGGTAGGGCAGGCAGGGCAGGGCAGGGCAAGGTAGGGCAGGGCAGGCAGGGCAAGGTAGGGCAAGGCAAGGTAGGGCAGGGCAAGGTAGGGCAGGGCAAGGTAAGGCAAGGTAGGGCAGGGCAAGGTAGGGCAGGGCAAGGTAGGGCAGGGCAAGGTAGGGCAGGGCAAGGTAGGGCAGGGCAAGGTAGGGCAGGGCAAGGTAGGGCAGGGCAAGGTAGGGCAGGGCAAGGTAGGGCAAGGCAAGGTAGGCAGGGCAAGGTAGGGCAGGGCAAGGCAAGGTAGGGCAGGGCAAGGTAGGGCAAGGCAAGGCAGGGCAGGGCAGGGCAAGGCAGGGCAAGGCAGCCCAGGGCAGGGCAGGGCAGCCCCCAGGCAGGGCAGGGCAGGGCAGCCCCCAGGCAGGGTAGGGCAGGGCAGCCCCCAGGCAGGGCAGGGTAGGGCAGGGCAGGGCAGGACCCAGGGGCTGGAGTGGCCATTTGAGAGGAGGTGATGCTATCGAGGCTCTGGTTTAAGACGGGACTGAGATATAAAGGTGGGCAGAGGTTTGGACAAAGGGAACACAGACAGTCAGTCAGTCAGTCGAGGCCGAGAGGAAATCGGAGAAATCCATAGGGACACTTGGGGGCCGAGAGAGGGATGGAATCAGTGGACCCCTTCCCACCCCAACCAAAGGGAGAGGGCGAGACCAGGGCTGGTTACACAGAGTCACCAGGGTTACTAGGGCTGGTTACACAGTCACCAGGGTTACTAGGGCTGGTTACACAGTCACCAGGGTTACTAGGGCTGGTTACACAGTCACCAGGGTTACTAGGGCTGGTTACACAGAGTCATCAGGGTTACTAGGGCTGATTACAGAGGGTTATTAGGGCTGGTTACAGAGGGTTATTAGGGTTATTAGGGATGGTTACAAAGGGTTATTAGGGCTGGTTACACAGAGTCATTAGAGTTTTTAGGGCTGGTTACACAGAGTCATTAGGGTTATTAGGGCTGGTTACACAGAGTCATTAGAGTTAGGATGGTTACAGAGGGTTATTAGGGCTAATTACACAAGGCTATTAGGACATGGAATGCTCCTTACGAAACATTGTGGTGGAGGCAGAATCAATTCGACAGATGTTTGAAAAAGAAAGGTATGACAGGACGTGCGGAACTGGGAGGGCAGAGAGGGGGTTCTGGGACAGGCCGGGGGAGAGCAGGGGAGCCTGGGCGGGGGGGAGTGCGGGCATGGCGGGGGAGAGCAGGGGGACCTGGGCGGGGGAAAGTGAGCATGGCGGGGGAGAGATGGGGAGCCTGGGCAGGGCGGGCTAGGGGGCAGGGTCAGCGCTGGCACAGTAGGCCGTTTAGCCTGTGAGGGTGTGTGCAGTGATGCTCATTCCTGGGAAGCCACCATCAGATTTGGGTTCAGGTTCAAGTGTGAAAGTGAATCCGCAAGTGGAATGGAATTGTCCATTGTGTGGTCAGAGCTCCGGGAGCTTCCCCGGATGTGGGGCGCTGTATAAATGCAAGTTGTTGTTGTTTGGGAGCTGGGTACAGGGTGTTGGCTCGACCTTGACGTGGCCACTCACTCTGTGCCTACCTGTGTTTGTCCACCAATGGTTTGGCTAATTTTGGAAACCAGTTTGGCTCGATGAGGTGGAGTGTCGTGCTGTCAGTACCTGAGGTGTGGAGGCGCTGACGGGAGTCAAGAAAGAAGGCCTCCATTTCGCCCACAAACTATACAGACAATTCGCTTTACAGTGTATCCTGTGAAGTGCTTTCAGACGTCTCGACGACGTGATAAGGCGCTGTATCAAATGCAAGGATTATTATTATCTTGCTCAACTGGAGAAACTTAGCTCTCATCCATTACCTGATGTCCGTCAGACATTCCGTCAGGACAGCATTGGTCCTGGAGTCGACTGGTGGAGGCAAAAGATAGCGTCGGGTGCCATCCGCGTACATGTGGGAATTAACTGCAGAGTGGATAAGAAAGAGTAGCTGGTAAGGGGGTGACATGGGGACTTTATCTCTGACTTATCAGCAGCTCAACTCTGTTGCACCTCATGTCTACCTTATGTTGTTTCATTCTCTGGTGTAAATCCCCCAGCAGATTACCGGGCAGAAATTTCTCTACAATTAAGTTTCACATTCTCATTTTAAACTCGCTCCGACATGTACTGTTTCCTCTGGAATGTCCCACAAACACCCAGCAACTGGCAAATGTAAATCGGGGCATATATCTACCAGGTGCCAACGTTACCTAGCTGGGTGAAGTGAGGTGTAGGGAGAGCACAGCTGTGTGGTATGTAGCACTTCAACAGTAACAATAAGTTAACAAATAATAATAATAATCCTTGCATTTGATATAGCGCCATATCACACCTTTGAGACGTCTCAAAGTGCTTCTTTTACACGGCGCCCCTCGCGCAGGGGAGCGTGAGGGGCGCTGCAGGAGAAGAGCGCATGCAGTAGGACATTTCAAAGCACTTCACAGGATTTCCTGTAATGTAGAGTGACTGTATTTGGTATAAATTTACACACAGCAACATCCCACAAATAGCTGTGGAGTGAAAGCATAGCGAGGGCTGTGGGCTGGAACCAATTCACGCCAATAAAGGGAATCTACGAAGATAGAATCATAGAATTATACAGTACAGAAGAAGGCCATTCGGCCCACCGTGCCCATGCCTGACTCTTTGAATGAGCTATCTGCTATCCAAATGAACCCCCTCGCGCCCCCAGCTTTCCCCACAGCCTTACAAATTTGTCCTCCCCAAATATTTATGCACTTCTCTCTTGAAAGTTGTTATCGAATCTGCTTCCACCATCCTTTCAGGCAACGCATTCCAGATCCAAACAACTCGCTGCATGAAAACATTTACCATCTCCCCTCTGGTCCGTTTGACAATTTTATATTTACTTAAACCTAACAGGGAAGGAAATGATATGGAATAAAAGTTATTAATCATGAGCTGATTGTGCAAATGGCAAAGAAATATAGTTGCTTCTGGTAACGCAAAGCCACACTGAATTTTTGATGCGATGACTGATATTACATTTATCTGATATCTTTCGGTTTCATTAGAAGTGTTCTGCTCGTGATCATCCTATTTGAAAGTTTTTTTTTCGTCAGCCGGAGTGCAATAGACTGGGGTTGTGACCCCATCACACACATAGTGATCACAGAGAGACTTGGGGGCTAGAGGGAGAGTAACTCGGGAGTGGGTGACTCACTACTTCCGGCTTCATCATTTACAGAAGGCTTGGCCAGATTCTGTGCAAAGAAACATTAACTCCTTTCTGCTGTGGTCATTATGGTGGCCGTGTAAATCCTTACTCATTAAACAAAGGTCTTCATTGAGAGGTTTTTTTCGAAAATGCTCTTTCTCACATTAATGTGACTGTAGGTCGTGTCTTGATAATAATAATAATAATAATATTAATAATAAATGTTGAATTTGATATAGCGCCTCATCACGTCTTCAATACGCCTCAAAGTGCTTCGCTGTAAAGTGTAGTGAGTGTATATTTTGCGGCAGCCAATTGCGCACGGCTGTGTCCCACAAACAGTTGTGGATTGAAGTGACCAAATTATTATTATTATTTGTTTTGAAGGGATTATCACCCCTGGAAAAGCGATCCGACAATTGACTTAACAATTGGGTTCCTGCTTACTACTAAGTGCGTGAGTGTGGAGTAAGGAAACTTGCCTAACGTTTTGCCCTGCTTGCCTGGGAATCGAACCCTGGTCCTCCCGCTTGCGAGGCGAGTGCTCTAACCACTGAGCTACAGGACTCCACAAAGAGAAAGAACGACTATGACAACTTGCACTTATGGCCGTTATATCAACTGCAAGAATTAGGCTCACAAAATGCCTGAGCCTGCAGGGTATAGAGCAAAGGTCTGTTGGCAGCTGGAGTAAAAGTATTGTGCAGCCAACTGCCTCCTAAGTGAGGTAACTGAATAGTTAGTCTGTGCAAAGGACAGCTTGAGGCATGATGATACAGAGTGAGGCTCCCTATCCCTCTCTCTCTCTCGCTCGCTCTCTCTGTGCCTCCTACGTCAGGCTAGGAGTCAGGGCTATGGCGTGGGTTGATTAGTTCCAGGTTCGTTTGTGATCAGAGGCAGCTGTGGCCGAAGAGTTTCAGCCAAGACGATCAAAAAGCAGCAGATTAGCACAGAGCTAGTGCGGAGAGCAGGGCATTCAATCCCGACAGTTGTGTGTGAACCTTGAGCTCCCATTGTGCTGGAGGATGGGTTTGAGGATGGGTGAGATTGGGTATTGCCAGTGGTGTACCCGGCAGCAGCGCCAGGGCAGGCACCAGACACCCAGTTGCCACCAGTAACACTGCGTTACTGTAACGGCCAGTGGAGTCCTGTAGCTCGGCGGTCAGAGCACTCGCCTCGCAAGCGAGAGGACCTGGGTTCGATGCCCCGGCGGGTCAGGACGAAACGTTGGGCAAGTTTCCTTACTCCACACGCGCACGCACACCTCTGTTTACTCAGCAGTGTGTAGGAACCCGGCTGTTAGTCGATTGGCGCATCACTTTTTTGGGAGGTAATAATTTCTTCCAAAAATGTTATTTAAAAAAATAATAAATCGGTCACTCAGTCCACGACTGTTTTTTCAGACGCTGCTGTGCGTAATTGGCTGCCGTGTTCTGCCCATAAACTATACAGTCAATTCACTTTACGGTATATTCTGTGAAGCGCTTTGAAACGTCTCGAAGACGTGATAAGGCGCTGTATCAAATGCAAGGATTATTATTATTTTTTTTCATGGACTTTGGAGAGCGAGGATTTCACCTCTTGCCCATGTGCCTCATTGGGTTGGAATCATGGAATCATAGAATGATATAGCCAGCGCAGAAGGAGGCCATTCGGCCCATCGTGTCTGTGCCTGCCCTTTGTAAAGAGCTACCCAAATCAATCCCACTCCCCTGCTCTCTCCCCGTAGCTCTGCAAATTTGTCCTCCACATTGGAGAGAGACAATCAATCACAACGACAGAACAAGTGTGGGTGGTTTGGCTTCTCGGATGGAGGAGGCAGATCTAACGGGAGGAAATGACACAGAATAAAAGTTATCAAACATGAAATGATTTTGCAAATGGCAAAGAGATAGCCTGGGTTTCCTGCTGCTTCTGGTAACACACTCATCAAATCCACACTGAACTTGCGATGTCGATGCTCAATAGAATCATTTGTCATCGTCGCAGACAAGCAAAAAAGAACTCATCAGTTTCCACGGCAATGACTGATGAGTTTTGCATGACATGTGTCACGTACCATATTCAGTATATAGAGGGTACAGTACCCAACCCAATCATATAATATAAATGCAAGTTGTTGTTGCCTGCAGTTCATAAAAATAATCCTTGCATTTGATAGAGCGCCTTATCACGTTTTCGAGTCATATCAAAGCTCTTAATCACTTAATGCAGGCAGGTTTCTAGTGTCTGGTTTTAATTCTCTTATCTCTGGTGTCAACCAGGTGTGCTTACATGCTAATGTGGCGGTTGCTGTGTAGTGAAGAGTTCATTGCCATTTAGCCACAAAAACCAGAGCTTCAAACCTATCAGTTACTCAGAATTTCAGTTTTGCAGCCTTTATACAACACTTACTTTACTCTGCAAGCACCATTTTGTTTTTTGGAGCTAAATCTGTACCAGAGCACATGATGAGAGCTTTGTGCATTGTTACCTTTCAATATTATATCAACAATTTTATTGTTAATGTAATAATAGTTGTCCTCGCATTTGATACAGCGCCTTATCATGTTTTCAAGACGTTTCAAAGCGCTTCACAGAGCATACTGTGACGTGTAATGACTGTGAAAGCCCGTTGTGACTATGACTGTGAAAGCCCGTTGCGCACAGGAGTATCCCACAAACAGTCAGGGATTGAGTGAGTGACCAAGTCATTATTATTTTTTTGGAAAGGGTTTGGTACCCCCGGAAAAGCGACTCACCAATCGACTTAACAACCGGGTTCCTACTTACTGCTGGGTCAACAGAGGCTTGCGTGTGGAGTAAGGAAACTTGCCCAATGGTTCCCCCTGCCAGGAATCGAATCCAGGTCCTCTCACTTGCGAGGCGAGCGCTCTAACCACTGAGCTACAGGATTCCACAATCAGCAGTTGTGTCAAGACTGAATGGAGCGATACAGCTATTTGCGCATTTGAGCTGTGCAGGATTGATGATCTGCATCTCGTTGATGGTGAATCAAGTATTTGATCACACTGTGTGTGTGCCTGTGTGTGCATGTGTGCGCATATGTGTCCATGTCTATACCGTGTTGACAGTGTAAATTGTAAATTTCACTCTCTGCTCAAGGCCTGATCAGTGGCCTGTCCCCATAACAGAGGCTGGGGTTTGAGAGTGATGGACTGCGTTGGGAAGGGGAGTGCTGTGTTCAGATCACTCCACACACACGCCTCTGTTTACCTGGCAACGAGTAGGAATCCAGTTGTTAGTCAATTGGCGGATCGCTTTTCACACTCATGGGTGAAACGCTGTCGCCAATTGCGCACAGCAGATACGCTCATTTACAAGCCAGGTGTTGGCAGACCCTGACTGACTGTAGACAGAACTGTTCTGTGCTCACCTGAAATACACATAGGCAAGGGGAACAGAGACTGGATAGTGGGTGACTGAATGATCTCCCAGGCAAAGACTGGGTGAAACGTCGGCTGACTGGTTCAGGGACATTGGCTGAAACTCGTGTCTCCCTCCGACAATTCGAAATTACAGTGGTCTTTCACTTCCCCTTTCTATATTCTCTGGATGATTGATGCCTTCAGACTTTCTGTCTGCATTTCTCTCCACGTGGCTGTAACCTCAACACTGACGATGACGTCTATCAATCTAACAGCCACGTTTAGGTAAGAGCATCAGTTTCGCCCACAGAATATACAATCAATTCACTTTACAGTATATTCCGTGAAGCGCTTTGAGAGCGTCTCGAAGACGTGATGAGACACGTTATCAAAAATGCAAGGATTATTATTATTTAGCTGGAACACTGACCTTTGTGAGGAGTGCTACATAAATGCAAATCGGAGGTGTTGTTACCGTTGTATCCTCCTTCAGGTATTTTACCTCTGTTTACCCACGAGTAAGTAGGAACCCTGTTATTAGTCGATTGGCGGATTACTTTCCGGTGTTTAAGAATGCGACGATTACTATTATATCATTATTATCCTTAACTAATCTCTGATGATTTCTGCAGGTGACGATAAAGCAAGGTGAGTGAGGGGTTGGAGACCGCTGGAACCTTAACCCACGGGAAGCCTTGGAAGTGTGTGTGTGCGTGTGTGTGTGTGTTGAAGAAGCCACAATGCCCTTGAGGAGGTCAGCGAGCAGCCGGGGGCTTTTGTAGGATAATAATCATAACAACAATAATAATTATTATTGGATAGAGGGGATGCCTGAGCCCTACCCAGCTGAGACCATGAGCACCTTAAACAAGTACTACAACAAGCATCTGATAGCTGTGCACTATAACCACACGGGCAAGCTTGACCACAGCAAATACCAGACCATGGAACTCAGTTACATCTCCATCTTCTTCATCGTCCTGTGTTCGTTCATCGTGCTCGAGAACCTGCTGGTGCTGGTGGCCATCTGCAGGTACAAGAAGTTCCACTCGGCCATGTTCTATTTCATCGGCAACCTGGCCCTGTCCGACCTGCTCGCCGGGCTGGCCTACATCTTCAACGTGGTCTTCTCGGGAGGCAAGACTCTGACCCTGACTCCCCTGCAGTGGTTCGTCCGGGAGGGGACCATGTTCATCACCCTGGCGGCCTCCGTCTTCAGCCTCTTGGCCATCGCCATCGAGAGGCACGCGGCGATCGTGCAGGTCAAGCTGTACGGCAGCGAGAAGAACAGCCGAATGTGCCTGCTGATCAGCGGCTGTTGGATTCTCTCGATGCTGCTCGGGGGGATGCCTTTGATGGGCTGGAACTGCATGGACGACCTCCTGCAGTGTTCGATCGTGCTGCCGCTCTACTCCAAGCGCTACATTCTCTTCGTCCTGACCGTCCTGACTGTCATTCTCCTGTCCATCGTCATCCTGTACGTAAGGATCTATCTGATCGTCAGGTCCAGTCACCATGAGGCAGCAGCGTCACAGAACCTGGCGCTGCTCAAGACGGTCACCATCGTGCTGGGAGTCTTTATCGTGTGTTGGGCGCCAGCGTTTATCATTCTTCTCTTCGACGTGGCCTGCATGGGCCAGGCCTGCAAGATCCTGTACAAGGCGGAGTATTTTCTAGGCCTGGCCACCCTGAACTCAGCCATGAACCCCATCATCTACACGCTGCGGAGCAAGGACATGCGCAGGGCCTTCCTGAAGGTGATCTGCTGCTGCGGGTTCCTGGGAGACGGCTGGAGGCCGGAGAAGTGCCTCTTGGCTCTGCGCAGCACCAGCACCTCGGAGCGATCGTACCACAGGCACGAGTCCCCGGACTCCCCCATGATGCCCGAGTGCACCACGTGTGTGTGAATCGCCCGTGGCACGCACAGCACCGCAATGGAGGGTGAGGCTCGCGGCACACACATACACACACAGAGACAGCCCCGTAACAGGGGTGATGCTCACACACACACGCGCATGCAGACATACACACGCTGACACACACAGACACACACACACATGCAGACATACTCACACACACACACAGCAGACACACTCACGCAGTCACAGCAGACACACTCACGCAGTCACACACACATGCAGACATACTCACACGCATGCAGACATGCACACACACAAACAGACACAGACTGACAAACACACACACACAGACGTACTCAGACACGCAGACAGACACACACACACATCAGGGTATAACCTCACAGAAAGACACCACCCCCCCCAGTAACAGGTGAAGTTACTGAACTCTACATGTGCTGACGACTAATGGCCAGACCAAAAACTTTCTGTTCAGCGATGTGAGTGTGTACTCTTTGTGCGAGTATGTTTTCTGTAGTTCACTCTGACCGCAGAGCAGCATCTCAGCCCAGTAGCCACTTATTTTCCTCAACCAACCACAGTCGTGTCGTCGTTAAACACCCTTCCGCTACGTACCTGTCAACTGAGCAACTCATCCATCAACTGCACATCAAGCAAGACATCAAGGGGATTCCAGTCCGCAACACCTCAGGGATGAGGTGTGAGTTCTCCTGATGGCTCGGGACAAGTTTAAGTCTCCCTATCAGTGTTCAGAATCTCGAGGTCTTGCAGGAGAGACAGCTGAGCCAGACCAGAGCTGCTGCAGGAGGGAGAACATCAGTAACTAGGGTGGTGATCAGGACAACAACAGCACCTTTCACTTTGGCAGGTAGTCCCAAGGTGCTGGGCAGGGGCAAGGTTGGAATTAACGATAGGTTAACAAGCACAGAGACTTTTTCGAGCATCCCTGCACACTTCTACACACACACACACACAGGTACTTGTGCACTCACTATAACATAGCTGTCAACACGTATATGATTCTTGCACACATCTGATCACACGCAATCGAATAAATGCACACAACTGCACACATTTGTAATTTGAATCCAGAAATGTCAAGGTTCACACTCACCCCGTGGATCCCGATTAGTTTGTTCATTTGAAAGAGGTTAATGTTGAGGTCTCGTCACTGCCCGTTATCTCTGCCCGTTCCAGCATTGGTGTCCGTACTTTCAGCCACTACTCCCCGAAACTCTTCCTCTATCCCTCCCTCCGCTATTCCCCTTCCCTCCCTCCTTCCTTCCCCACGTTCAGGTCGCTCCTGAAGACCTTCCTATTCGATCACCTCCCCCACTCCCTCCGCCACTGTCAAGCGCTCTGGGAGGCTCCCCTGAGTGAGGGGGCGCTGTGGACTTTGGAGATCTAGTCCCCAGCTATGTCCGACCACCAACAGAATATCAATCCCAATCAATCGCCTGACAATCTACTGCCGATTAATCTTCAAGCTGAATCTCCTCTCTAGTTTGACGAACTCCTCCCAGCTCCCGCCACATTTTCACATTTACATTGCCTGAGAGGATTTCAGAGGAGAGTCGCACAAATACTAAGCGTTTAATGTCTACAGCAATCAAACGGTTCAAAACCAATTCTCTTAGCTGTGATGTGCAGATTTGATCTGAGGTGCCCTCCTTGCCTGACCTATGATTATTATTTTTGTGCACTTGGCCAGTGGAACTAAGCTACCCTCGGTGTCAGCTCCTGTGCGTGAAAGAAATCGATTCACTTCCCGCCTGGCACTGCACGGCTCATTTGTGTCACGGTGCAAACGTGTGTCCGTGCAATCAATTCACCCACAACCCCCTCCCCCCTCTTGTATGAGTATCTTCATGGATCAAAGAAAAAAGGTGTATTGTTTGTTGTGCCTTATAAATGTCTTGAAATATCTCGAAGCACTACTCAAGCGAGTACTGTCAAGTGCAGTGACTGTTTTTGTGGACAATTTCCTTGCTGCCAGCGAGATTGGTGCAGCACACTGTGAATAATCAACTCCCCTGGAGAATCGGTAAGCGCACGAGAAATGTAACGTCTCTTCTCCAATAATATCTGGGGACCTTTGACGTTGCACAGATCACGTTTTGCCCCATGTCTTCCCCTTCCTCCCTTCCCCCACTCTTCCCCTCCCCCCCCCTCTCCCCTTCCCCCCCCCCTCTCCTCCTTCCCCCCCCTCTCCCTCTTCCCTCCCTCCCATTCCCCCCTCCTCCACTCCCTCCCTCCGCTGTCCATACAAAATCCCATGTGAGGCGTCGAAAGGAATTGTCTGCACACCGTTTCAACAATGACCACCTCCTCCTTCGATAATCTGCGTCACACCGCGTTTTGTGGCAATGGCCTTGGCGTATCCGCATTGCGGGAGAGGGCGTGCAGATAGCCATTGAAATGAAGGTTAGATAATGCCGCGTTTGTGTAGTTTCAATTGTAACACTACAGCTAGAGCCGACATTTTAGAATGTTTACGGTTTATTAACAATGTATAAATGTATATGATAAGCAAGGTACGATATCGGATGCGATAGACAAAAATAAATATTTTCTACAGAAATACGAACAGAATTGGTTGGCTCTGTTTATCTGCTGCTCCCCCATCCCCCTCGCCTTCTGGAACTCCATCCCACAATCCCTCCGCCTCGCTCCCTACCTTCAAAACACGTCTCAAGACCCTCTTCTTCGATTGCATGTTCGGCCACTCTCCGACCCCAACCTTCCCTCCACCCCTCCTGACCCCAACCACCAGCTCGGGTCAAATCCCAGACTGTCCAGCGCCTTGGGACGTCCTCCTGACGTGTAGGTCATGTGTTTTGATCATGAAATACCTGACTGGTGTGAGTGGGTGGATTTGGAGTCACAGGATGTATGAGGCACAGACTGACATTTAGGTGAGTGAAATATTGTTGGTTTCTGTTTGTGACAAAGAGAGAGGGGAAAAAGTACGTCAAAGCAGATGTGAATCAGGTGAAGTCCCTAATGGTACAAGTGATGATAGTGAAAGCTGGCAGATGTTTGAAGTCAAGCGGTAGGAAAGTTATTCACCAGTCAGAGAACTGTTTTAGAATTTCCCTGATGTTAATTGACGGTAAATGAAAAGCTGAAGTGGTCGTTAATGCTGCCTCCACCATCACATCCACATTGGCGACATGTATTTAATATCTAATATGTAGTATCTGTGATTCTGTGGGTGTCAAGAGTCTAGACACTGAACGTCAGAATATTTAACCCAGGCAGCAGTCAGTACAGGGCTCTCAATTGGCCCCATCACCACTGGGTTAGAGCGGGCGAAAAGTCAGCCAGAATTCCCGTTCCTGATCACTATCCTGCCTGTTGGAATGTGCTCGTCTGTGCATAAGGATCAGGCTGGGATATTAATAATAATCCTAATGATAATCCTGGCCTTTGATATAGCGCCTTATCACGTCTTCGAGACGTCTCAAAGCGCTTCACTGGATATACTGTGTTTTGTGGGCGAAATGCAGCAGCCAATTGTGTACTGCAGTGTCCCACAAACATTGGTGGATTGAGTGACAAATTTATTATTAACATTACTATTTTTGGAAGGAGTTATTACCCCCGGAAAGCGATTGGCCAAATCGACTCGCAAGCGGGTTCCTACTTACCGCACGGTAAACAGAGGCTTGTGTGTGGAGTAAGGAAACTTGCCTAAGCTTTTGCCCTGAGGGATATTCAATGTTATCGTTTAGTCCGTCACATTTACACACAGTGACGTGGAAAGTACACAAACATTCTCAGCAGAGAAGGAGGCCATTTGGCCCACCTCTATTTTTTAAGTCATCTTTTGCTTTATTAATCGTCTTTCCCCATATCCCTTAATGTTTTTAAAACTTCTTAGGTGCTAATCCGTTTCCCTTATGGAATGATTGTATTGATGTTGCCTCAGAACTGCCCCAGTATTGCTTCAGCTGACAACCTCCTTTGCCTTTGATCACCTCTTGACACCTTTTCAGATGTGAATACAGAAAGGATGAGGTCAAACCCACAAACAGGTCTTTGTGTTTTGGCGTTTACAGAGAATTATCATCGGCAATAACACTTCAGGTCCACTTCAAAAGTGTGATGAGCATTTCCTGTAACTCAAAACGTTTCTGCACACAACAGTTAACATAAGATGCAAAAAGGTCCATCTGGTTCGTCTTCCAAAATTCCAGGCAGTCGCGTGCACACTATACCGTGCACAGGTATTTTGGGGCGTACGTGTGTGAGTGCTGAGTGCACCTCTGTGTCTGCCTCGAGCCGCACCGCACGTCAAAGGAACACATCTTTTGGAGTCGTGCAGCTCAGTGGTTAGAGCGCTCACCTCAAAAGCGAGAGTCACTGGGCAGTGCTGGCAATTCCAGGGCCGGCAGGGCAGGCAGGGCCGGCAGGCAGGCAGGCAGGCAGGGCAGGCAGGGCAGGCAGGCAGGGCCGGCGGGCAGGCAGGCAGGGGCCGGCGGGCAGGCAGGCAGGGCAGGCAGGCAGGGCCGGCAGGCAGGCAGGCAGGGCGATAAAGCACCTGATCGCGTCTTCGAGACGTCTCAAAGTGCTTCACAGAATATGCTGTAAAGAGTAGCGACGGTGTATTTTGGGAGAAATACAATTGCACACAAGTGGTGTCCCACAAACAGCTGTGGGTTGAGTGAGTGACCAAATTATTATTATTATTATTATTTGTTTTGAAGGGATTATTATCCACCGGAAAAGCGTGGGCACCAATCCACCAACACGTGGGGTCCAACTTACCACTGATAAACAGAGGCGTGTGTGTGTGTGTGTGTGTCTGTCTGTCTGTGTCTCTGTGTGTGTGTCTCTGTGTGTGTGTGTGTGTATGTGTGTGTGTGTGTGTGTGTGTATGTCTCCCTCTGTGTGTGTATCTGTTGTGTTTCTGTGTGTGTGTATGTATCTGTGTGTGTGTATGTGTGTGTCTGTGTGTGTATCTGTGTGTGTGTATGTATCTGTGTGTGTGTGTGTGTGTGTGTGGAGTAAGGAAACTTGCCTACGGTATCACCCTGACCTGACCTGACTGACCTGATCCGCCGGTATATCCCGTGAAGCGCTTTGAGACGTCTCGAAAGACGTGATCCGGCGCTGTATCAAACGCAAAGATTATTATTATTATATTATTATTATTAAACATCAACACACACACAGCAAACCCCCGCCATAGCCCCCCCCCCCCCCCCCCCCGGCCATAGCCCCCCCCAGCCATAGCCACCCCCCCGGCCATAGCCCCCCCCCCCGGCCATAGCCCCCCCCCCCGCCATAGCCCCCCCCCGGCCATAGCCCCCCCCCCGCCATAGCCCCCCCCCAGCCATAGCCCCCCCCCAGCCATAGCCCCCCCCCAGCCATAGCCCCCCCCCAGCCATAGCCCCCCCCCCCGGCCATAGCCCCCCCCCCGCCATAGCCCCCCCAGCCATAGCCCCCCCCCCAGCCCACAGCCCCCCCCAGCCACAGCCCCCAGTCCCACAGCCCCGCCCCGGGCCGCGCCCCTACCCGTTGCTGTGGCTGAGGCAGGGCGACACCTGGCGGTGAGGCTGCGGTCGGTGTCACGCGCACCCCCTGGTCACGTGATCCGGGCCCTGTCCGGCTTCACGCCCGGTCGCCGGGGCAGCGCGAGAGGGAGAGGCCCAGAGCCGGACAGCGAGGCCCCGGGGGAGGGACACCGAGAGGAGAGGCCCCGGGGGGAGGGGCACCGAGAGGAGAGGCCCCGGGGGGAGGGGCACCGAGAGGAGAGGCCCCGGGGGGAAGGGCACCGAGAGGAGAGGCCCCGGGGAGAGGGGCACCGAGAGGAGAGGCCCGGGCCCAGGCAGAGAGAGTGAGCGAGGCCGAGGCCGAGGCCTAGACCCGGAGGGAGAGGCCGAGGCCTGGGCCTGGGGTCGCGGCTCTATCCGCTTCTCTCTCTCTCTCTCTCTCGGTCTCTGCTTCTGTCTCTTGTTTTGTCCACAGAGCGTCTGAGAGTGAATTCATCTCAAGATGGTGAGTGACGGTCAGTGAGTGAGTAGCAGTGAGTGAGTGAGAGGGTCAGTGAGTGAGTGAGAGGGTCAGTGAGTGAGTAGCAGTGAGTGAGGGTCAGTGAGTGAGGGTCAGTGAGTGAGGGTCAGTGAGTGAGTGGCAGTGAGTGGCAGTGAGGGTCAGTGAGTGAGTGGCAGTGAGTGAGGGTCAGTGAGAGAGTGAGGGTCAGTGAGTGTGGGTCAGTGAGTGAGTAGCAATGAGTGAGGGTCAGTGAGTGAGTAGCAGTGAGTGACGGTCAGTGAGTGAGTGAGAGGGTCAGTGAGTGAGTAGCAGTGAGTGAGGGTCAGTGAGTGAGGGTTAGTGAGTGGCAGTGGAGTGAGGGTCAGTGAGAGAGTGAGGGTCAGTGAGAGAGTGAGGGTCAGTGAGAGAGTGAGGGTCAGTGAGAGAGTGAGGGTCAGTGAGTGAGGGTTAGTGAGAGAGTGAGGGTCAGTGAGAGAGTGAGGGTCAGTGAGAGAGTGAGGGTCAGTGAGAGAGTGAGGGTCAGTGAGTGTGAGGGTCAGTGAGTGTGATACAGCTCAGAGGCAGTCGCTGTCAGTCAGTCAGTTCTGGACTAACTTTCCAGATGATGATTTATATCATTGGTTGATTTGCTTATTGACTGATTGATTTCGGGGGAAATTATATCCTTCGCTTTTCTCACTGTGCGATTGTTCAAATCTGTCGGGAAATGCATCTTTTACTGCAGTTCACATTCTCTCCGCTCCAACCGCAACAGCTCCCAAGCCTCCAGCCTCTGGAACGCCATCCCGCAGTCCCTCCGCCTCATTCAAGACCCTCCTCTTCAACCGCGCCTTCGGTCACCCTCCTACCCCCTCCCCTCCCCGCCCTCCACCCCTCCTGATCCCAACCACCAGCTCAGGTGCGGATCCCTGACTGTCCAGCGCCTTGGGACGTCCTCCTGACGTGACAGGCGCTGCGTAAATGTCGTTTGTTGCTGGTGTTTGAGATTGATGGAAGTTGCGACAAGTCCAGGTGGTGTCTATAATCTGTCATGGGTCGATCTTCTTACTGATCATCTTCAGTTCTATTTCCTTGCCTCCAGGGTGAACGCAAAGGTGTGAATAAGTACTACCCGCCTGACTTCGACCCAGCTAAGGTAAGCCTTTCGAGTGTTTGAAACTGAGTCAGCGATGGGGATAGAACTGATACGTTCGCGAGGCTGAGGTTTCACTGAGGAGGGGCTCTGTCCGGTGCGTTGTGGAAATCTCCCAACATTTCAGTCGTGGTTTGAATCTACAGGTGTAGCTCAGTGGTTAGAGCGCTCACTTTGCAAATGAGGGGACCTGGGTTTGATTCCCGGGCAGATAAAAACCTTAGGCAAGTTTCCTTACTCCACGCACACCTCTGCCTGCCTCATTTCGCCCACAAAATACACAGTCACTCTTTACAGTGTATCCCGTGAAGCGCTTTGAGACGTCTCGAAGACGTGATAAGGCGCTGTGTCAAATGCGAGGATTATTATTAATATTATTAAGCGCTTTTTTGCCATGTTTTCCTCTGAACTGACTTGTTTTGTTTCTCCTGTACAATAGCATGTCTCTCTCAACAAGTATCGAAACAGCCACCCTCTGCGGGAGCGAGCCCGTAAACTGTCCCAAGGAATCCTTATCATTCGGTGAGTCGTCCTGTTCACTCCTCCTCTGGCTCCATCAAACTCCAGATCAACGCGCTTCCCCACTTCTTCTACGCCTTCAGTCATTAAAGCCCTTTGAGACGTCTCGAAGACGTGATAAGGCGCTATGTCAAATGCAAGGATTATTATTATTATTTCCCGCCGTGATCTGGTTCCCACACGCTGTAAAAACGCTTCGAGACATCGTCATACGTGAGGGTCACTCTATAATCGCAGGCAGCTGTTGTGACTTGTGTGACTCCACAACGACAAACACCGGTGTGTTTCATTAGAATTGTTCACCTGTTTAAGGGCTCTTAAACAAGCGCTCCGGGATGCTATCCCGCCTGAAGGCCGCCATTATAAATGGAGGTCGTTGTTTATCTTCCAGTAACGGTTGCTTTGTGTTTCTTTAAGGTTTGAGATGCCATACAACATCTGGTGTGATGGATGTGGGAAGCACATTGGAATGGGTAAGATACTAACAGATGGATAATCTATAGGAGGCTGGTTGGTAGGGAGGCAGATAGAGGAAGAGGCAGAGAGAGAGAGATGACTGAGATGTAATTGGGAAACCAGTCAGGGTGATGTACTGCTGTCAGCCTCTGCTTTGAGACCAGTTGCTGTGGCTGATGATCCACGCGATGAATTTGCCTTCAGGCAAAGCTGTGAGTTTCACTCAAAAAGGCCAGAGGATGGAGGTGGAAATTTGAAGTGCAGCAGTGGTGGGGGAGCGTACTGCTGGTGATCCGATGTGTGCAGGGAGTTTCAGTCTGCCTGTGATCGATCAGCGTGATGCTCTATAGCACCAATGGGGTTATAACATACCAGGAGCAGCTGGACAGTGACTTCAGGATGAGCAGGAAATGTAGCTCAGTGTTTAGAGCACTCTCCTCGCAAGCGAGAGACCTGCGTTTGATTCCCGGCAGGGAGAAACGTTGGGCAAGTTTCCTTACTCCACATACACTCCTCTTGTTTACCCAGCGGTAAGTAGGAACCCTGTTGTTAGTCGATTGGGGGATCGCTTTTCCGAGGGTAATAATAATACCGTGATGAGGCATTGTATCAAATGCAGGGATTATTATTATTATTATTCTCCTTCTCTGGCTCCAGGTGTCCGTTACAATGCAGAGAAGAAGAAAGTTGGGAACTACTACACCACTCCCATCTACAGGTACAGTCCTCCTGCTTTACTGAGTGAGCGTTCACCTTCACACAGAGCCAGCCAGTGCCCAACCCACAGCCACTCCCTGTGCCCTGCTGACAGTGGCTGTCTGGCAACAACAACAACGTGCATGTACATAGCACCCCTCACGCAAGGTAGCCTCCCAGAGCGCCTACACCCTGTTTTGCCCACAAAACACACAGTCACTACACTTTACAGCGTATTCTGTGAAGCGCTTTGAGACGTCTCGAAGACGTGATAAAACGCTGTATCAAATGAAAGTATTATTATAGGGTGGGGGGGGGAAGGGGTAGAGGACAGGAACTCACTCTCTCGCTGTGTTGCTGAGCCTCTGCTCCCTGTTGCAGGTTTCGGATGAAGTGCCACCTGTGCGTGAACTACATTGAGATGCAGACGGACCCGGCAAACTGTGACTACGTGATTGTGAGCGGAGCTCGGAGGAAGGAGGAACGGTGGGACATGAAGGACAATGAGCAGATCCTGACCACTGGTGAGTGACCGTTTGTTAGGTCAGGGCATCAAGGGGCGAGGGGGCAATTGGACTTGAGGTACAGATCAGCCATGATTTTATAGAATAATAATAGGGTTCCGTGACTTACTGATTGACTTACTTACTTACTGCTACGTAACGAATGGCGGAACAGGCTCGAGGTCCTGAATGGCCTCCTCCTGTGTCTGTGTAACCGCTCAGTTAATACTCAGTTGGGGGAGAGGAAGCAGTGTGTGGCATAGATTCTGATCAATGGCCTTTATCTTGACTTCAATAAGCACTCTCAAGAAACAGACGTGCTCTAAGGGGAACCTGTGACCCTTCACAGTCATATGATCCCCTGTGGATTATTATAATAATTGTGATAATAATTTGGTCACTCAGTCCACAGCTGTTTGTGGGACACTGCTGTCGTGTTTCACTCACAAAACCCAAAGTCACTACACTTTACAGTCTATTCTGTGAAGTGCTTTGAGACGTCTCGAAGACGTGATAAGGTGCTGTATCAAATGCAAGGATTATTATTATTACTATTTTGCTGATGTTTGCGATGGCTCTTTATCCTGCTTGCCCCTCCCCCCCCCCACCACCACGTTGCCCCTCACAGAGCACGAGGAGAAGCAGAAGCTGGAGACGGACCCGATGTACAAACTGGAACATGGTGTCCAGGATCAGCAGAAGCTGAGAACGGCCATTCCCACCCTGGCCAACATCCAGGAGATGCAGAGCCCGTGGAAGGACGACTTTGCCATCAACAGCCTCCTGCGCAGGAAATTCCGGGTCAGGTTGCATCGCAGACCCTCCGGGTGGGGGGAGTGGGGGGAGCGGTGGCGGATGGGGCAAGGGGGTGTGGGGGGAGGGTACAGCTCAGCCGAGCGTGTGGAAACCCCAAATCCTGCATCAAGTGTGCGGGGTGGGGGGGAGAGAGGGAGCAGAACAGGATCAAACATAATATTTGCCCTTGAGTGAGCAATCAGGGTCGAGCGATGTCTCCGGAAGGGTGTTTGCCTCTGTGTGTATGTCTGTCTGTGTGGCGTATGTCTGTGTGTGTGTGTGTGTGTGTGTGGAGTGGGGGAGAGCTGAGAATGTTCTGAAAGTTGTTGCTGAGCTCAGGGCTAACGTCTCTCTCTCTCTCTCCTGTTATTAGGATGAGAAGAAAGAGCTGAAGGAGGCGGAGGAGCGGGACTCGGAGTTGAGGAGCCGAACGTGTTTCAGTTTCCCTCTGGTCCCCGAGAGCGAGCAGGACAGACAACTGGCCACACTGCTCAAACTGCGCAGCCTGGACTGTGAGTGTGAGAGAGTGAGTTTGAGTGTGACTATGTGTACAAGTGTGCCTAAGTGTATGAATGTGCCTGTGTGTGTGTGTGTGTGTGTGTGTATACCTGTATGTGTGTGTGTGCCTGTGTGTGTGAGTGTGCATGTGTGTGTGTGCATGTGTGCTTGTGGTTGAGAGTGTGTGTGTGGCTGACTGATAATCCCTCAGTTTGTGTTAGCTTTAAACTGCGGTATGAGATAGTGATAGAGGACAGGCCCTGAATCACCCGGTCGCTGCCTGTTCTTTGGCCCACAGCGTACGAGGACAAGCAGAGAATGAAACGGCAGGAGATCACTGCAAGACCCTGGTTGCCCCCAGCGGCCAGCCCTGGGGGCGACCGGGCCGGAGAGACGCTAAAGAAACTCGGGCTCAGCAAAGCCACGCCGGGGAAAGTCTCTCACGGGCTCGCCCTCACCGGGAGGCTGCCTTGCCAGCTGCAAATCGTCCGACGAAAAGCAGAGGAGTGTTTGGCGATTCAGGATCGTGCGGGTGGAAATCCAGACTCCGGATTAGAGACAGAGACAGGGCAAGGAAAGGAGGGAATCTGTTACAATGAGCAACCGGTGGACAACACAAGCAGGGACGGTTCAAACACAGCGGGCGCGGATCAAGACACAAGCGTCTGTTCTCTCGTGGCCGACTACACTGACTCTGACTCTGACACAGACCCCTCTTGACCCTCAGGCACCGACACTGTATTTATTCCGAAACCTGTACAATAAATATTCCATCCACCTCCACACGTACCTCACCCTGGAGTGAAAGAGTCCTGCAGCTCAGTGGTTAGAGCTCTCCATTCCCAGGAGGGCGAAACGCTGGGCAAGTTTCCTAACTCCACTCACACGCCTCTGTTTACCAGCAGTAAGTAGGAACCCGGTTGCCGGTTATTAGTCGTTTGGTGAATCGCTTTTCCGGGCGCAATAATACCTTAAAAAAAAAAATTGGTCACTCAATCCAGGACTGTTTGTGGGGACGCTGCTGTGGGCAATTGACTGTCGCGTTTCGCCCCACAAATATACAGTCAATTCACTTTACAGCGTATCCTGTGAAGCCCTTTGAGACGTCTCGAAGACGTGCGAGGATTATTATTATTAAGGATTGCTGAAGTAACGCATCTGACACCATTGTGGCCACGAGGTGGCGAACACAGTCGTGTAGTGGTCAAGAGACTTGGTGCCTGAAGCAGACGCCTCCATCGTGGGGGGGGGGGGGGGGGGGGGGAGGGAGTGGGGAGAAATGTGGGGATAAACAATGAGACCCAAGTGCAAATGTGGAAATAAAAAGCTTACAGACAAAATCTCACAATACAGGGAAATTTACTCAATGCTGAAGTCTTCTCGGACATTTGAATTTAATGCAGATTACAGTTAATCACAGTACAACGTGGGGGGAGTTTTAACTCCCATTTTGAACCTGACCTGGGAGTGTGGACGCACAGGGCAGAGGGGGGCTTTACTGTGTCTCTAACCCTGAACCCACCGCCCCACTGACACAAACACTTCCACGTTGGGTTCCAAGCGGTGACACCGCGTTGACTAAAGGCAACAAGAAGATCGGTTACGCGGCGCCTTTCACGTCGGGAGGACGTCCCGAGGCTGTGGGCGGGTGGGGGGGGGGGGGGGGTGGCACTCATTGGGTTATTTGCCAAGTTGCCCAAACCAGACAGTGTCACAGAGAGGAAAGGAGTGAGAGAGGACAGGAGGGGAAGCTCTAATAAACTTGTTCTGTAAATAACAACAACAATAGTAATAATAATAATAATTATTATTAATAATAATTAATAATAATTATAATTATTATTATTATTCTATCCTCTATCTCTGCAATGGGTCGTTATTTGCACAGATGAGCATAAAAGTCGCCTTTCCTTCCAATCTGTTATCGTGTCATTGCTGTCGGTGAAGAGCTCAGAGGCTCCACCGCTCTCAGGAGGAGATGTTTCGAGGTGAGAGTTGTGGGGGAACCGCAGTGATCGGGAACGTTTCTGCGCCGTGACTGGTTTCCGGGGGGGAACGCTCCGGGGCGGCGGACCGACTTCCGGTGTCAGAGCGACTTCCGGTCGGTCCCGGGATCCTTTGTCGCCTCGTTTACCGGTAACAAAAAAACCATTCAAAGTGACACCAAAACCCCGACTCTGACCCCAAACCCTGACCCTAAACCCTGACCCCAAACCCCGACTCTCACCCCAAACCCGACCTTAAACCCCGACCCCAAACCCTGACCCTAAACCCCGACCCCAAACCCCGACTCTGACCCCAAACCCAAATACTTATCTTTCTTTCCAAAGACCGATTCAATTGGAACTTGAACATTGAACAGATCCCTCAAATATGGCGACACTGGTGAGTCAATCCATTGGGTGTAGATGGTGGGGGTGTGGGGGGGGGTGTAGGGGGGGTGTGGGGGGGGGTGTAGATGGTGTGGGGGGTGGGGGGTGTAGATGGTGTGGGGGGGGGTGTAGATGGTGGGGGGTGTGGGGGGGGGGTGTGGGGGGGTATAGGGTATAAGGACCGGGTTTGTAAACCTCCCACCGGGAGACTCTCATTGTGCATCGCTCTATCCCTGTGATTCCGGTGAAGTAGTAATAACAGTCTCTGCATTTGACATAGTGCCCTTATATCTTTGAGACGTCTCAAAGCGCTTCACGGGATAGACTGTAAAGTGCATTGGCTGCACATTCTGTGGGCGAAACACGGCAGCCGATCGCGCACCGCAGCGTTCCCCGCAAACAGTCGGGGATTGAGTGGCTTTGACCGGCGGGAAGATAGCAGGATGTTTTCGTTGCGAGTTGGTCTCTTTGTTAAGACTGACTTTGCTCCCTCTGTGTTCCAGGGTTCCAGCAGTCAGGCCGTCACAGAGTACACAGTCCGCGTTCCCAAGTAAGAACCTCTCTGTGTTGAGGGAATATTTGGGACAACGTATTCAACAGCGCAGGGCCCTTCGTGCGGGACGGGGTCTCGAAGCGCTTAAACAGTGGCGGAGCCCGACACCGAGCCGGGGGAGGTGAAGGAAGGACTTCGAGCATGACCTGAAAATGGGGAGAGAGGGCGGGGGGGGGGGCCAAGGCAAAAGGATTCAGGGAGAGACAGCTTCGGGGACGGGTGGGAGTGACGCGGGGAGAGGGTGACAGTGATATGGGGTTATATTAACTCGTTGCCTTTTTCTTTTCCCAAGAAACAACGTCAAGAAATACAACATCATGGCGTTCAACGCAGCAGATAAAGTGAACTTCAACACGTGGACGCAGGTGGGGAGGGGAGGAGGGGGTTGGGAGGGGTGAGGGGAGGAGGGACCTGGGAGCACAGGCGTTAGAGCTGGGAGGAGTTGGAGGGAGCTGGGAGGGGAGGAGGAAGGGGCTGGGAGTGTAGGGGGCGCTGGGAGGGGAGGAGGGACCTTAGGGGGTAGGGAAGGAGGGTGCTGACATGGGAGTGTCAGGTACCTGTTGGCTGACTTCCGCTTTCCTCGCAGGCCAAGATGGAGAGAGATTTGAGCAACAAGAAGATTTACCAGGAGGAGGAGCTGCCGGAGTTTGGGGCTGGCAGTGAATTCGGGAAGAAGTCACGTGAGGAATCGAGGAAGAAAAAGTTTGGTATCGTCACACGGGAGTTCAAACCGGAGGATCAGCCCTGGC